GTGGGGGTGAGGCTGTGCAGGAGGGCCAGGGCGGCCTCTCTGGGTGGCTGCTCTGTGCCTGAGGGACACTTTCCTGACCACCTGGTGGATATCAGCGGGGCAGGGACCCTGTCCCAGAGCTACCAGTATGAGGTGTGTCTGACTGGAGACTCTGGGAACACAGATTTCAAATTCTTTAACCCCATTATTCCCAATAGTGTGCTTCAGGACCTCTAGGTCAATTTCAGAGTCCAGGAGACCCATGTTTCGATAACCAAATCAGAATTAGTTGCTTGGCTATTAATATATTTGTTTTGCATTTAATAATCTCTCCTTGGAAGAGTGTATTTTATGGTGATTTTATTCGCTGTTTTTTATTGATGTGGTTTTTCTCTTTTGGATCTGTGCTTCCTTTTTATCAATACAATCTTAATACATCTCTTTCTTTCACTAATTTGTATAATATACAACCTTTTTGTGTTTCTCTGGTCATTTTAAGTGTGTTCTTGGGAACTCATTTCTTCCTCTTCATTATAACCAGGGTGGCTTTCTTCAACACCCACCTCAGATCGTATCTTCTTGAGGCTATGCACAGAACCTGCTCTGTTGTATTCACTTGGATTTTCACTTTCACTGCAGCTTGTTAACTGTAAAATGTACAGCGTTCATTGTGAGATTTTCGGAGATGCACATACCAGGCCTGGATAGCACTCACCTCTTTACCACATTCTTTAGTCCTGTTGTCTTCCTCCCCTCCACACTCTTCAATGCCCCATTTTACTTTCATGTACTTCTTGTCTTTTAGAGGGTAACTATTTAGCTTAAATGATCTGCAGTTCCAATTCCCTCAAAATGACAATTTCATTCTTCTTGATGCCTGAATAAAGTAATTCCATCATGCATGTATGTGTTTTCCTCACCCCCACTTCTGTTATCACGATAACACACCTTTGTGTACAGCTAATGAAGTGCGAGCATAAGATTCAGTCATCTGTCATAGTTTTATGTGGTTTGTTCACAAATGGAAGTAGTGTGTTGTTTTATTTATCATCTTTACTGACAACAACATTTAGTATTTCAAGACTTTATTTGCTTTTATACAGGCCAAAATTTCTTCTAAAATGTACCAGAAATAACTTTGCTTGACCTAAGCCATTGCAAGTGATGGAGTGTGCTTTCACCTTGTATGAGAAGACACTGAGTGAGGCATGTGTTTGGATGATGAGTTGATGTGTAAATGCTGGAAATAAATGAGGGCCCATTAAACTTTCAACAAAATATGCAGATGAATGGCTTTTAAGTGTTTTAGTCTTTTTATTGCTAATACTTGCCATAAATAGGGTGACCTGGGGGAAATATTTCCACTGGTTTCTATCAATAGGTTCCTTTCTTCCTATTTCAGTCTGTCTTGATGTAGAATTACTTGAAGATGAAATCTGTCAATCCACAGCAGTATTCTACCTACAACATTGTAATTAAACAGGGTGCAAATATAATAGGAAAAAACAGTATCACTGGGGAAGTTTAAATTTTCTATAACTAAAAATAACACATGGAAGCAACCCAAACCACAGAATATGCACATTTTGAGTGAATTTTTAAAAATAGTTTCACATAACAAGCCATTATTTCCTTGGTTAACTTTAGTTTTGAAAGAATTTTCATATTTTACCATCTATCTATCTATCTATCATCTATCTATCTATATCTATATCTATATCTATATCTATATCTATATATATATATATATATATATATATGTTTAGTATTTCAGTGTTTTGTCTACAAAAAAAATTGAACTTATAAAAACTTGAAAATTGTTTTGGAAACTCTGAGAAGCCAAGAATTTAATATTGATAGCTCTCAATCACCAGTCAGTATGGTTGTGTAGTCATAAATACACTTATGTTCTTGCAGGAATGGAGGAACTACTTTCCAAGCAGGAAGTTCTCCAGCATAAAATTTTTTATACAAATGAGTCTTGTAGTATGAATTCTGAATAAATGGGAAAAATCTTTCCGTTCAGCCTAAATGCTTTGTATGAAAATTTTGATCATATTTTCATCCTTTCATACATATCTGAAATTTCTTGGAAATTATGTAATTCATGTAGGACAGTTTTTTGAGGGACTCTATAGTGTATGATATCACACTAAAATGGGAAGGGCCATATGGGTTAATGATCCGGTTACAACCGGAAGACAAAGAATGAGATGTTGCTAGTAGGGGTGCGCATGTGTGTCTGCGTGTCTGTGTGTGTCTGTGTCCATGTCTGTGTGTGTGTCTGTGTGTGTGTCTGTGTCTGTGTGTGTGCATGTGTGTGTGTGCATGTGTGTGTGTCTGTGTGTGTGCATGTCTGTGTGTGGTGTGTGTGTGTGTCTGTATGTGTGTGTGCGTGTGCATGTCTGTGTCTGTGTGTGTGTCTGTCTCTGTGTGTGTGCATGTCTCTGTGTGTGTCTGTGTCTGTGTGTGTCTGTGTGTCTGTGTCTGTGTGTGTCTGTGTGTCTGTGTCTGTGTGTGTCCATGTCTGTGTGTGTGTGTGTGTGTGTGTGCACGCGTGCCTGTGTGTGGGCGGGGGGTGTCCAACACCTAGGGTCCAAGACATGTGATCTGTCTCTAATGAGCATCCCAGCCCCAGATCCTATTAGTAATTTAATTTGTGAGTGGACTATATACATTGTTGGGAGTGTGGTCAGAAATCTTCCAAGCTGATAAGATAACCTGGACTGAATTTGAATACAAAAAAATCCCAATCAGTCTTGGTTCAAAGTTAATTTTATTTCTGGACACTTGGAAATAATTTATTCGTTTATTTGAATTCCTTTCCAAAACTACTGCTACTCTTTATCTTTTGAGGTTGGTTCTTTTTCAGTTCTCTCTGTGTAGCCTAGGCTGGCCTCCAACTCTGCTCCTGAGGTCTGGATTACAGATGTACCACCATGGCTGGTTCCCACGGTCTCTCTATGGATATTTTACTAAGTGGAGGACTGGGGGTGGGTTACCAGTTGTATAGTACTAACTATTGTTGCACTTGGGGCATTTTACAAACCCCAAGTCAGATATCAGTGAAAGAGATGACTTTGTCTGTCAATTCTTTAGTAATAAGGTTACTATTATTTATGTACAAGTTGATATTACTGATATTTCAATGTTTGAAGAGGAAACAAAATTAAACAAAAACTGAGTCCTCTTATTGATAAATAACTTCAGTAGATTATGAATAGACTAAAAGTGCTCTTTCAGTTTTCTTTATACTTTAGTTTGCAGTGCATAATGCAATTTCTCATTCAAAAAAGGTGCTCAATTTGCGGTCATTGGATAATTAGCTTGCAGCATTTAGGAAATCAATGAATTTCCTGAGGACTTTAAGATTTATCTCAAACTTGTGTACACATCAAATTTCAAAAGAACTATCCATACTTAGAAAAGGGAATGACACTTTAATTTTGTCAGAATAACACCAATCTCTATGAAGCTAGTTTCTCTGAAAACTCAGAGAATTGTAAAGTAATACATTAATCTCTAACTTAGTTCCAAATTGAGCTTATCCATCTCTTTCATTTTAGGGATGGGGAGAGAATACAAAATTTTTCTGTTCATCCAATTAACTCTCAGAAATCTCTTTGTTGATTCCTTGGTCTCTAATTGCTGCTGCTATTGGCCTCTAGTTACTCTTTACAGCATCAAAATTAAATGAAAATTTCAAGATAGAGATTTAGTCACTTATTTTCAAAACATAATTTCAAACTATCCCTCATTTTTTCTATAAAGACATGAATTCAGAAATTTAACTACTTTCTTGAAAACCCACTGTCCTTTTTAAATGCATAACAATACTTTGACTAATCATACACTTAAGAATGAAAATAGTTTTCTACTGTTCTTCTGTCATTCAGTACTGTTGATTACAAGTGCGGTGTCAGCCAGCTTCTCCAGCATTATATGTAAATCCCTGTTCCTTCCACAGTTGATTTTCCCAATAGCAGAGAAGTGATGGATCTCATTTTATTTTAGATTATTTCATTTATTCATCACATTCTGACATTTGTTATTCCAGAACCCAAGAGTCATATAATACACTACAATTTTTAGTAGTTCTCATTTTCTTTTTCAAAAATTCCACTCAGCATATTTTCATACCAACTAGTACATACCTCCCAATTGTCATTTCCTACTTTTGATTTGACCAAATTAAATCTCTTTCACCTGCAGTCTCTCCATGTGGTTATAAATCTCTCTGTCCTAGGGGAGAGAACAAATATTGAACCTGTCTAGTCTTTTTTCATGGCCTTAGTCATTTTTAGTGATGATGTTTTATCAGCTCCTAACCGTCTTTTGGAAGTCCCTTCATACTGCCCTGGCTTTACTGGGCTTTAAAAGAGAGACTGGAGATCTCATGATAGTTTGCACTCAGGTTTCAGCGGATTCAAGCCTTAAGAATGTTGGCTCAACTTTGTCAGACACAGGTAAAGGTTCTATTCCACTCCTAACATTGTGTTTAGGCTAGGCCCAACCTGCCTCAGGGCTTATGATTCTGAATTTTCTCTATGAAGAAACAATCTCAGAAAAATGTCAACTTCTTCATAGCTGTTATTGTGTCATTTAAGGTGTTAGAATGAGACCCTGTGAAAATATTTTATAAAGTAATTGATGAGTGAAAAACTACATGGAGTGCCAGATGTGAAGGCACATACCTTTAATCCCAACACTGAGGAGGCAGATGTTCATGCATCCTTGTGTGCTACATGCTTTACTAGTCTACAGCATGAGTTCCAGATGACAGAGCTACACAGAGAGACCCTGTCTCAGAACAAAACAAAACAAAGCAAAACACACAGGGAAAAACTCACAGCAGCAATTTAGGCAATAAATGTGCAAATCTGACAACACTCTGCAACAGTGAGACACAAGCCCAAATTGCTGTTCTGAATGAAGAGTTGCTATGTTTAGGCTCTCCTGAAAACATGAAATTAACTTGATCCTTCTTCGGCAATTCCCTCCTCATAAAACCATATATCAAACATTACTATTGTAATAATAAAGATCAGATACACAACTACTAAAAAACTCATTTATGGCAGTAAATTATGACAAAACCAGGCAAATATAACAACAGGAGGGAAAATCATAGACCCATTTGCCTTATCACCATTGGTTTGAAGAGCCTCAACACAATACCAACACCAGTAACAAATGAGATTATACTCCACAGCTGTAAAAGTTTTACCCAGAAACATATTGGCTTAACACACAAAAATCAACACTGAAATATGTCCTGTGGGCAAAATGACACAATTGTCTCAATTAGTGCAGAAAACGTTTTGGAAAATTTAATAACTGGAAAAGGAAAACATCTATATACTTACACATGGTGTGGCCTCGCAGCCTAAGTAATCTGCAAAATGCTAACATTGCTAAACAAATTCAGAAAGTTTATAGAACACAAGATCATTACCTTAAAATTAACTATTTCTGCATATTACCATGGGACAAAACGGAAATGTAGAAATGTCCCTTGGGATCAAAAGGAACAAAATGCTCAGAAAGGAAGCAGACAAGTGTGAAGATGAATTTCATACAGAACAGCAGACAACACTGAAGTAAACCACAGAAGGCCTGTGTGAGGAGGAAGTGTCTGTGGACCGGAAGACTCTGTACTGTAAAGATAACCTTCAAACTAGTCGATGACTGAATGGAATTCTTACCAAAAGGCCAGTTCACTTTCCCCCCCCCAGAAGTTGCTAAGTGTCTCTAAATGCAAGGACTCCTGAAGAGCCAAAAATATTGAAGAAGAACAAAGTTAAGGAAATATTCTAAATTAGAAGTCAAATCTTTGGATGATTTCTATGTGTTAAATACATAAACATTATTTTCTATGTGAATACAGGAAATATTTGTTAGTTGCTTTAGATTGCACCAAAAATGTATAGCATCAAACTATTTCAATCACTTTAGAATTAGAAAGTTAGCCAAAGTTAAATTTCAGTGCACTATTTGGTTTGTAGCTTTTGCTCTCAGGTGGTCAGCTGATAAGTTAGATCTATACAATTGTATCTGTGCATCGGAGTATTTCAAAAGGTAATTCCCTCTACAATAATTTATACTCCTCACACAAACTGTTGATATTAACCCTGTAACTTTGCTTTTTCAGCATTGTAAGAACATTCTTTTAGAAAAAAAATTTCCTGTTTTGTTTACCTGGTTATTCAAAACATAGACGTGTGTGTTTGAAGACTTGAGGTCTTCTGGTTTGTGTTCATGATTCCTTTCATGCACAGAAGGGGATAGCCTTACCAGTTATGCGGTTTGAGACAAAAACAATGTTGGCAAAGAAAAAGAAACTACATACACTTTCAACGTGGCATCATTTGGACATTAAAATGGTGTTTTGACATTAAAAGCTGTTTTGACTTAAAACTAGAACTGTTTCAATTTCCCCAAGAAGACACAGGGTGGCGCTGCAGGCTAAGATTGTGATGAAAAAAGCACTAAAATGCCAGGAACCGCTTGTATCGATACAGAACAAAAGGCTCAGGCAAGAGCTTTGCAAGCACTCCGGAGCTGTGAAGGGGTGTGAGCAAGGATATATTGGACTAATGTAAGATTAAGAACAACTTTGTGAAGATTCCTCTAAAGAAGAAACCAGAAGTCAGCGTTTCAACGCATTTGGAGATTGCTAAAGGATTGGATGCAAGCACTCACTTTCCCAACATGGAGAAGCTAGAGAGAATTCACCCAAACAGGCAAGTGATTCCTTTCCTTTTTATGCTGGTTTTGGTTCAGGTTTGCAGTGAGCCAACAATTCGATACTCTATCCTGGAGGAAACAGAAAGTGGATCCTTTGTAGCCCATCTGGCCAAGGATCTGGGCCTGAGATCTGGGGAC